TCAGGTTCACTGTTGTCATGATAACACAGGCCAGGCATGGTAAATATAAAAACATCTAGTAGATTCGTTGAATCACCTCTGAGAAACAAATGCCCAAACTTTTGGTCAATTTTGCTCAAAATCCAAGATGGCGGCCAAACCATGTGACTGATCTGAAATCTTTTATAGGTTTCTGAAAGAGATTGATATAGAGATGCCATGCAGCAATATTGAAAATCGTTCACGTGTGGCATGAGTGAAAAACTACTTCCTGTTGAGAACAAATCCAAAATGGCGGCCAAACCACGTGACCAATCATAATGAATTTCTCAAATCTATAAATCTGCTCCATATGTAGAAGCTAAGTACTGAATATGAGAACATTTTACTTGGCGGTTCTGAAGAAGAAGATTTTTTGCCGTTTTTAGGAAAAACAAAATGTCGGAAAAAGTCACGTGACCGCTAAAGTTTTTATTTCTGATATTTATTACACATGAGTTGTACTATATACCATAAAAAAATCTAGACGCCTAGACCCTCAGAAAGTGGTCAAACAGCCACTTCCGGTTTTATTTCAATCCAATATGGCCGCCAAACTAATTGGCCAATCAAAATTCTGAAAGCATGTTGCACCAGTTCACATTAGGGACTATCAGTATAGAGTATTATCAGACCATTCCGTTCAGCGGTTTTCTCAAACGGCTTGACAAAAAAAGTTACGGAAGAAAGAAGAAACCGAACAATAAGAATAGGGGCCTCGCCCTTTGGGTCCCTAATGATTCACTTCATTAAATACTACAACAATGCATATTCCCCCTGGGACCAGCGATCTTTGAATGTGTATCACCAGTAAATCAGTCAAGATACTGATGAATAAGCAGACCAAGTTTGATACAGTTAATATACCTTTTCCTTCCATCTTTGATGATAGGGGCAATGTAAAAATGGCGACTACTCAACCCTTAGTTTGCACATTAGCCATGTGTGGCGTCAACTTTGTCCATACAAAACAATACTTCAGTATGATTTAAACAAAAAAAATTGTCAAAATCACAGCTATCGTATACAAACAAATACAAAAATTGTCAACTTTTTTTAGGACTTGTTTTTATTACATCTAGGTATATATGCAAATATAGGAAAAATTCACTGACATTACACATTGGAAATAAATTCTTTGAACAGATGCCATTTGGTTTAGTGCATGCCTCACTTCAGCAGAGCCTACCTTCCAATCAATCCACACTATTCTTTCAATCCATTAAACATTTGGTTGAAGGCCAATTGGAAAGCTAGCATTCAGGCAATATACAGCTTGTTTTTCCACATTTGGTGGTCATTATATTCGCTGAGCCACTGTATGAAAGTCAGTCAACTTAGTGTCAGTTTTCATACACTTAAAATGTTGGTGAAAGCACATGGTTTCATGTTTTTTCCACTGGGGAAAGGAAGGAGACTGTTAGTGGAGGCAATCAGACTGTAATGGCTCAACAGCGACACCTGGTTCACAAATTACAATAGCAGTAGTAAGTTCTGACAAAAGTAGACCTATTTTTAAATGACAGGGTTGTGTGATCTCCTGTATATCAGTGACCATCATCAACTATGCCATACTGCATAATTGTGAACACCATTCAGATTTTCTGAACAATTTGCAGACACCAAAAATTTGTATGTGCACGATTATAGATGTAATGCGCCTCATATAATCTAGTTTGCTAACAGCAGGCCTTTAAATGAGATCTTTATTCAATCCATATCTGCAAATTTTAATGTATGTAATTCTAAATGCAACTCAATATATTCGGCTATCATAGATAGCAACATCAAATGGGAGGTGTTACATAGCAACATCACACTCTGGCAATGCAATTAACAAGATTTCACAAATCTGAAAAACACTAAGTATGTACAGCAGTTTATATAAAAAGAAATAAAAGCCAAACACATGAAAAGGATTGAGGTAAAAACATGTATCCCCACCAAATGTGATGCTACAATACCTGAAATACTGCATCTGATAGATACACAAAGAGTAATATAAAACACCCCCTTCCCCTCCCCCAAAGATGCTACATGTATATACCCATAAAGATTGGGTCTGAAATACATGTATCTACCAGATTACAAGCATGAGCAAAATTACCGTACTCTACCAACTTAGCGTGGTTAAGACCACCCCCCACCAAAATTCCCCAAATTTGACTGTCTATTCATAAAACCTGGTGTTTGATCATAGAATACTGGTAATCGTAATACAATACAGCGTGGATATTGACCGCTGTGAATATGGTGCGAGTGCCTAACTGTTTAACAAATGTGAAAGACAGTAAATATTTAGTTTACCTTTCAAAAAATGCTAATATTTTCTGCTGAAATCAGTTTTAACAGATCGTACTTCAACATTGATAATTCACTTCCACACTGTGTTACCAAGAATCATTTGAAAATTCCCAGAGAAGAGCATCAGTACAACACAGTATTCTTATTGGTTTATAATATTTGCCTCAATCTGTCACATGGTGAACTAAAATTGTCATTCACACAATTTTTCGAGGTGGTGCTCGGGTAACCCCCCCCCCCCCCCCCCGAACACATGATTTTTGGAGCCGAGTACCCTAGGTGCTAAGCTGGTCGAGTACGGTATATGGGCATTATGCATTGTCGCAAATAACAAATAGCTCTGCCACACCAGCCATTTACTTTGATCATTTTGGTATAAGAAAAATTGTCTGACAAGGAGAAATTCCCTCCTTCAATGAAATAGAGGTAATAAAACTACCCGAATTGTATTCTCGCAGTCAACAAAAGGGAAATGGATAAATACAGCAATTCAGAATATTTGTACAGGTTATATTAGTCCAAAATGCTGCCTACATTAATCAGAATTAGAATTATCCCCTTGGACTTTCCTACTTGGAGGTTCTTCACCATTCTTTTCTTGGGACAACTCTCTAGCATACTTTGGTGACCTGTCACTGCTTCTTTCCTTTCTGTGACGTTTCTCCCTCGAGTCCGATCGTTGCGAACTCGATCTATCCTTTGAATGTGAGCTGGACCTTTCTTTTGAACGTTCACGCGACTTTGACTTGTTCCTTGACTTGGAACGATGATGACGCCTTTCACGGCTGCGATCCCTAGATCTTCTGTGCTCGCGCGAGTGAGATCGTCTACGTCTATCACGAGACCGAGACCTGTTAAAGTAAACGGCAATGTGATGTAAGTTTACAAGTCGGAGTAACAAAAGTTGAAGTAAGGTAAATTGTAAGTGCATGAATAAAATACCTGTGTCGTCTGTTCCTTCTATCAGAGGATCTGGACCGTGATCTTCGCCGCCTGTCTCGAGATTTTGATCTGTAATGAACATATTTGTAGGTATTCAACTGATTGAAAATATATCATTATCATCTCATGCACAAGGTCATTATGTTCAGACAAACAGAAGTCACAAACAAAACAAGCAGCCTGTCGGCTGAGATAGCTCCGCTATTAGCAATGCACATTTCAATTAAAGAACTGAAGATATCCTTAGAAAATGAACAATATGTATAGTATCAAAGCAATCAGACTTGTTTTCAACAAGAATTCAAAAATATCACTTTTTACCAAAAACGACAAAAATATTCATTAAAACTGGACAATTGACGATATCATCATGAAATGAACAAATCTAAGAGAGGTCTACCCAAGGTACATATACACCAAGTATCAAAGCATTCAGGCTTGTAGTTTTCAAGAAGTCGACAGCAGAGCTAAAAAGTGATAGACATGTTTATAATGTTGTGGCATTTCATGCATTTGTTCACTGTAATTGTGGTGATGCTATACAACAATGTAAATATGCTGTGTTAAAAGTAACTATTACAGAATTTATCTGAAAAATTTAATTATTCTATTCAAAATCCCCCCCCTGTTGAGAAAGAATGAGGAATCTTTTTTTAGGGTTTCTGCTTCTAATAGATTTTACAGTATGGCATGTACATTTCATGTGAAGTGAGTTTTATTTAAACAATCAATTTCTTGCATCATATTGTACGAGAAAGGTCTACGCCAATACAATATGCAATGGAGGCTTAACACATTGCGTTAAGACCTTTTTTCAAATTTAAAGTGCCTGTGCAATGCCCACCCCTCGCGTTTCCCATTTTAGACCTGTGTCCCACTGAAATGGGCAGTTATTGATTATTTTGCCGAAAACGACTACTTGTATCCAAATAAATTTGGGATATTTCTCATGCTGTAGCCACATCCACCTAACCTGAAACGGTTGACTGTTTCCGGATTTCCGACTCTCGCTGAAAGTGCGCCACCAAATGACAAAATGTGAGAGGAAGTCATACCCCTGAGCCGTAATAACACTGGTCATTCAGTATACTTTTAAACGATGTACATTTTTTGGTCTATTTTATTTATTTTTTTGAGAGTGTTTTTAGATGTTGTGTTGTGGAAAGTTGCAGTGAAACGTATAGTCATAGTGTATGTATTCACAGGTTTCTAATCGATTCGAAGGTGCGACTTCAGTGGTCGAAAGCCACTTAACCTCAGATTCTTTTTTTTTTGTTGGAAAAACTGTCCTC